TTTGCCTTAAAGTTTATATTTTCAGAGATTAGTATTGCCACTCCTGGTTAGCTTGGTATATTTTCCCCCATCTTTTAATTTTTAATCTATTTTTGTCTTTATGTTCAAGGTGTGTCTCTTGTAGGCAGCATATTGTAGAATCCTGTTTTCTTATCCATTCTGCTATTCTCTGTCTCTTGATTTGTGCATTTAATCCATTTGGCATCCAACATAATTATCAATATGTATGGATTGCTGGTTCATTGTTTTTTGTTGTTTTGTTTTTTTTTTGTGTGTGTGTGTGTGTGTTGCTGCTGATTTCTTTATTCGTGCTTTCCTTTGCAGAGTTCTTTTTTTTTTTTTTTTTTTTTTTGGTGCTTTTTGTGTGTGTGTTAATTTCTTCATGGTTTTAATGTTTTCATAATCTTCTTGGGTCTTCCTTTTTTGATTTGATGTAGTGATGTATCAAGTTTCTTTGAGGTCACTCTATATTTTATTAATTTCTTCTTCACTTTTAAACAGTCTGTTTAATCCTGAAATCTACCTTAACCTCCTCTGGATCTCTCTTACTATTCTTTCCCTTTGTAGTTGACCTGATCATAGACTGACCTCCTAGATCTTCTAATTTCATTGGATGGAGGTTTGGTCTGCTCTGGACTATTCCATCTCTGCAGAGAGTTCTGGATGGTGTTGCCACATAAGTCAATCTCTGATTGTTCCCTGCTCTTGTTTTCTCAGTCCAAAAAACTCCCTTTAGTATGTTTCAAGGTATTGGCTTGGCTTTTACAAAATTCCTTAATTTCTGTTTGTCCTGACATGCTCGAAATTTGCCATCATATTTGATTAACACATTTGCTGGGTATATGATTCTTCCATGGCATTTTTTTTTTTTTTTCTCTCATAGTTTTATATATGTCTCACTATTCCCTGCATGATTTCTGCTGAGAAATCAGAGCTTAATCTTACTGGCTTCCTTTTTCCTTAGTTGCTTTCAGGCTTCTTTCCTCATCTTTGATTTTGGAGAGTTGATTATGGTATGCCTTGGTGATTTTATTTTGGAGCTTATTCTGCCTGGTGTTTGTTCAGGTTATTTGAATACTTATCTTCTCGCCTTTCAAATTGTTAGGTGAATTTTATTCCAACATCTCTTCGACTATCTCTTCTGTGTATGTGTGTGTTTCTTTTCTTGTTCTGGAATTCCAACAACCCATAGGTTATTCCTTTTCCTATTGTCCCACATGATTTTTAAAATTTAAAATTTAAAAAACTTTTCTTTACCTACCTGTTTTTCTATCAGACAGTAATGAGAGATATGTCTTCAAGCTTGCTGATACTGGCTTCCATCCCTTAAATTCTGTTCCTTTACCCTTTCACTGTACTGTCCATTTCTGATATTTTAGTATTGAGCATCTGGATCTGTTTTTGTAAGTTTTGTATTTTTTCTAATGTTCTATCTGTTTTCTTTGATTGTTCCTGTATCTGTTTTCTAACTTCCTTATTTTCCTCATCCTTTCTGTGAATCATTTGGATGCGCCTCAGTAGCATTCTCCTGAATTCTTTTTCAGGTAATTCCAAAGCCTCTCCTCTCTCTAATGAAAATTCTAACTCTTCCTCTTGGTCATTTGTTTGAACTACTCTGTCTTATTTCTGCATGTTAGCCGATATTTTCTGATTCTTTTTAGGCTTTTGTGGTATTGTTGTATTTGTATTAATAAAATAAATACATTTTGGTGTATTCTTAATCTTTCTACACTTGCCTCTTGGTAGGTGTGATCAGGAGGTAGGCTTTTCTGTTCACTGTTCATACAGCTCAATTCAGAGTGCTTTTAGCTTGTGTTGGTTGTACACACTATTCTGGTATATAGCAGCTGGTATTGATTCTTGCCTAATTGGTGGGGTTTTAGAGGGCTTGGTTGTAGCTTAGCTGTATGGCTGCAGTTGCTGTCTCTTGTCAGGTGAGTCCAGAGGGGAAACAGCTTCCACAAAATAGAAGGACAACCAGAAGATAAGACTAAAAAAGTCATAAAAACCCAGGAGGGTTTTATATAGAAAAATATAGACAATACAAATGGAAAGTGAAAAACAAAACAAAACCACAGAATATTGTAAGTAATTCTTTATCGCCTTCAAGTCCACCTGAAATAATTTTATGATGTTCCCACTGTGCCTCTGTGATCTAACACGAGCTCTCCCTCCCCCTCAATTAGTTTATCTGTTTCTCTTAGTGAGAACTAGCCCATAGCTAGCCATACTCAGTTTGGAAAAGTCCAAGTTTGTTGTCTCCTTCCTCTTTGATTCTACGCCATGTGATCGTGCAGCACAGAACCCTCGCTGGGGGTGTCTACTCATTTAGGTCTCCCCTCTGGTCACTAGAGTGGAGATGAGTAAACAACAAAAGGAAAGAAGGGAAAAAGGGGGGGAAAACTACTTGCACCTTTTTTTTTGCAGATCATCGGCAGGTTTCTGCACTTAGATTGTTCTATTGTGCCTCTCTTCACTTATTCCTGTTCAAAAATGGTAGTGGCAGGACATTTTGGCTGCCTTAAATCAGAAGTAACCTTCTTTTGGCTTCTGTTCCAAATCTTACGGGAAGCACTTGATGCAGTTATTTTTCCCTTTATCTGACTTTCCGAGTTATGGGACTGCCCTCTGAATCTGTTTCAATTGGTTTTCCATGCTTTTAGTAATTGGGGTCTGTACAGTTTTTCTTCCTTGTTTGCTGTTAAGCCCTGCTCCTACATCAGTCCATGATACTTTTAATATTCTGCTCCAGCACCATAACTTAAATATTTGAATTCTCCTGTGGTCTTCCATATCCATTGTCCAACTTTCACATGCGTATGAGGTTATTGAAAATACCATGGCTTGGGGTAGGTACACCTTAGTCCTTAAACTGACATGTTTGTTCCTGAACAGTTTAAAGTGGTCTTGTGCAGCAGGTTTGTCTAATGCAAATCTCGTTTGATTTCTTGACTGCTGCTTTCATGATTGTTGATGGTTGAGCCAAGCAAATTGAAGTATTTGATAACTCCAATCTTTTCTCTATTTATATATATGTGATTTATTGGTGCACTAGTGAAGATTTTCGTTTTCTTTACATTGAGGTGCAGCACATTCCAAAGGCTGTGGTCTTTGATCTTCATCCATGAGTATTTTAAGTCCTTGTTTCAGCAAGCAAGGTGTGTCATCTGCATATCACAGATTGTTGAGTCATTCTCCAATCCTGATGCCACATTTTCTTCATATGCTCATATAGATAGAATAAGTATAGAGAAAGAATACAACCCTGGTGCTCACCTTTCCTAATTTTAAACTATTCAGTATTTCCTTGTTTTGTTCAAACAACTGCCTCTTGATGTATGTACAGCCTTTATTGTTGCTTTAAAAATGTATTTGCAATGAAGAATTCATTCATCTTGTAAATTCTCTGATGTCATCTCCAGCATAGTTTCTATCACCAAGGCCATAATTTCCAACTATTGATCTTTCTTCTTTGTTTCCAACCTTTGCTTTCTGCTCACGTAAAGATTTATAACCTCTGAAACGCTGTTCAGGGTCGCTATGGGTTGGAACCGACTTGACGGCACTTAACAACAACTGCTCCTTCCAGTTGTTATTGAGGTTCCTATGCCTAGCCACAGTTCAGTCAAAAGTTGATCTGTTCAACCCCCCACCCCACCTCGTCAACACACGTCCAATCTTCTTTGGAAGTAGTTGGTTCCCTGAATGTTTTTTGACTGAGCTGATCCTTCAGTTGGGTCACCATAGGAAAGTCATTTTCTCGTTGTAGACATATTTGCCAAGGTTAAGCAAGCTGTTGTAGCAAATATCCTTACTCTCATTGGTTTAAGGACAACAGACGTTTATTTCTTGTTAATAAAAAAACCAATCACAATAGTAGATATGAGGCTAGAGGATTTTCTGCTTTACTCAAGGACCCCGGCTGTTGTATGTAAGATGTCACATGATGTGGGTCCTAAGAGTGTACTTAGTATCACCTGGCCATTGGAGAAAGAGAAAATGTGAAAAATCACACAGGAGGTTTTTAGGGGATAGGGCTGTTGTTATTGTTAGGTGTCCGTTCTAGCTCATAGCAACCCTGGGTACAATGGAACGAAACACTTCCCAGTGTTGCTTCATATTTATGATTGCTAATGTGCTTGAGCCCATTGTTGCAGCCACTGTGTCAGTCCATCTTGTTAAGGGTCTTACTCTTTTTGGTGACCCTTTACTTCATTAAGCATAATATCCTATATCCTTTAGGGATAGGTTCCTTCTGATAACCTTTCTAGGGGTTTGTTGTTGTTAGGTGCCATCGAGTCGGTACCAACTCATAGTGACTTTGTGCACAACAGAATGAAACACTGCCCAAATCCTGGCCAACCTCACAATTATTGCCACACATGAGCCCATTGATGCTGCCACTTTGCCAGTCCATCTCGCTGGGGGTCTTCCTCTTTTTCTCTGACCTCTGCCTTACCAAAGATAATATCCTTCTCCAGCAACTTGTCCCTCCTGACAATATGTCTGAAGTAAGAAATGAAGTTTGGCCATCCTGGCCTCCAAGGAGCACTCTGACTGCACTTCTTCCAACACATCTATTTGTTCTTTTGGCAGCCCATGGCACTTTCAGTATTCTCCTCTAACACCATAACTCAAAAGCATCAATTCTTCTACAGTCTTCCTTATTCACTGTCCAACTTTCACATGCATATGAGGTTATTGAAAATGCTTCTGGCCACATAGCATATGCTAGAACTCAGATTCATGGCCACATCTAACTGTAGAGGGCACTGGGAAATGTAATATATCATTTTTTCTAGCAGGAAAGGGAAACCTGGTGAACAGCTAACCAATTTCAATTGCACTTAACTAATGACTTGCCATGTGAGGTACCTGCTCTTGATTTAAGTGACTATAAGGAGAAGGGCTGGAGATGTGGAATCATAGGTATTTGAGTGGGAAATGTCTACATTCTCAAGTTCTAAAATATCTTGTAATTGCTATTGCTCTTTGTGCAGGGAAATCAACGCTCGGCTTGATGCTGTATCTGAAGTTCTCCACGCAGAATCTAGTGTTTTTGATCAGATAGAAAATCATCTACGTAAACTGCCAGACATAGAGAGAGGACTCTGTAGCATTTATCACAAAAAAGTAAGTGTGATAGAAATTGTATCTTTTAAAGCTAATAATAATCTCTCAGCATGAGACTGTTGTTGTTGTTATGTTGTTATGTGCAGTGGAGTCTGTTCCCACTCATAGCAACCCTGCACAGGGTTTCTGAGGCTGTAAATCTTTACGGGAGCAGAACGCCTCATCTTTCTCCTGTGGAACCACTGGTAGTTTCGAACTATTGACCTTGTGGTTCATAGCCCGATTTGTAACCACTATGCTACCAGACTTCTAAGAGCATTGTTTTGGTTATTATTTTTTAAAGTTTTACTGTATCTTCAGAAAGTTTCATTTGCACAGATTAAGGTCATTTTACTTTTTCACTGTAAAAAGTGCAATGTGTTTACTTACACTGACCTACAATGATGTTTATCATAGGCCCTTTCAATTTAGTATAGGATATTCTCATGTTTCATCCTCAGTACAGAGCCTCAGAAAAATAGGAAAGTTACTCAGACTTCCTACTGTAGAAAAGAGATGCTTTATGTCTTTTGATCTCAAAGAAACTTTTTGTTGTTGTTTTTTACTTAACTAAAGAGATAGTCTGCTGGTATAATATTTGTAGTGGTATTATAAAAATACGTATTTGTACATATTCCATGAAAGTGTACATTTTGCAAGTGAGGAAATAGCATCGTTTGGAATTTTCTCTTAAGTGTTAGGCTTTTATCCATAAGAGTAACAAGAGGGGATTTCCACGCTTAGGAAAATTACTTATGTATCTTCAAAATATGCCTAAAATTAAGAAAATGCTACATTAACAATTTGTGTAATAATTAACATTAAACTTCTTTATAGTGTTTTACCTTTTGCAAAAAGGAGCTCTGGTAGCGTAGTGGTTACAAATCGGGCTGCGAACCTTAAGGTCAGCGGTTCGAAACTACCAGCTGCTCCGCGGGAGAAAGATGAGGCTTTCTACTCCCGTAAGGATTTACACCCTCGGAAACCCTGTACAGGGTCGCTATGGGTCGGAACCGACTCGACGGCACTTAACAACAACAACCTTTTGCAAAAGTTGTTCTTATAGTTTATGCTCCTTTTTTTTCCTTACAAAAATTTTATATGAGCTTAACAACATCAATCTTGACCTCCTTCTGATAGTGGAAAATGAGGCTTAGAGAGGTTTGGCAACTTGCAAGTAAGTCACAGACTTAGTCTTTACATTCAGGACCCTTGACTGCCACTTGCCTGGAGTTATTAGTGGGTTTGTCCTGTGGACACTGCCATTTTGAATACTGTTAAATTTTTATTGCATTTTTTTTTTCCTGGTTGCCACTTTTCATAAGCAAATTATGTTTTACCCAAATCAAAATCCTTGCCAATATAATAATAATAATTTTACCTTAGAAAAACTTTTATGTACCCCAATTTTTTACTTGTATTTACTTTTTTTTTTTCCTGGGCCCTTTTTCTCCCCACAGGCTTTACTCAAACAGTATGTACTGCCTTTAAAAATAACTACAGTCCTTTTTACAGGACTTATGTAACAGCTCCATATACTTCAACTACATTTGACAGCAAAGTACAAGCCGAAGTTGGGAATACTAATTCTGAGGGGGAAAATGGTCAAGTTGCTTACGCATCCTTTGAAGTTTGTTGCACCATTGTTTGGTACATTGTGTTTGTTGTGACTTTGCTGAGGAGTGTGGAAGCTGCAAGGATCGTTGAAAGTTGTGTGAATGCCATTTTTGAGGTTACACAGTTGATGTGGAACCCTTTGTTATTTTGCATCATTGGTTCAGTGCCCGACAATTAGTATTTTTCATTCTTCATAACGCAATGGACCTCCAGGCACCTTGCTTTCAGTACTTGCAAGAATTCACTGACAGATGCCAGTCTTTCTTGTTTTGCTCAAGAGAAAATAAGAGCAAAGCTGAAAATTTTTCATTTGCTTCTCAGAAGAGCTGAGTCACACTTTCCGTGACATCAAGATGGCAGTCTCGTTCTATGTTGCTGTGATTTCTTATGCTCTGCTGCCGCTCTTCAAACTTTATTTTGAAGTGTGCATTTCATAAGGCTGTGTGTTTATAAAACTGTCAAAACTTTGATAAAAGTCAGAACCTCGTTCATTTTTAAAGTCTCTAATATACAGAGCAAGAATGAGTTTTATGTTTCTTAAAGGAACTTATGACTCACACAGTAGCTGTTCCTTATTACTCTTCTCATGTTTACACAAGAATGTGCTTAAAGATTGGTTAGAAGAGTTAAGAATTAGGAATGATTTGTTAAGAAACCAACTTTAGGAGAGCTAAATGTTTTAAGCCTGTTTTGTTATATACCAGTTAGCTGGCTCTTGGAACACACCATCAGACACCTGTCTGTTCTTTAATATTGTTGTTGCTATATTTAAATGCTAGCAAGTCAGTTCTGATTCACAGCCACCCTGGGTCGCGTTTCCAAGGAGTGGCTGGTGGGTTTGAACTGCCGACCCTATGGTTAGCAGTCCAGTGCTTATCCTACAGTGCCACACCAGCACTCCTGTTGTTGTTGTTAAGTACTGTGGAGTCAGTTCTGACTCATAGTGACCCTAGCACAGGGTTTCCGAGGCTGCAAATCTTTACGGGAGCAGAAAGCCTCATCTTTCTCCCGCAGAACAGCTGGTAGTTTCAAACTGCTGACCTTGAGGTTAGCAGCCCAATTTGTAACTACTACGCTACCAGAGCTCCTTAACACTCCTATTAGCTTGCTCCAAATAAGCTTCAACTCTGTGAGTTATGTGGGTACCAGCTGTACCAATGATGTGAGCTTTCATGTGCCAGTGATGCAAGCATTGTAAAATGATAAGAAACACTCTGTTTGGATGTTGTGAAAGCGGTACGTCTAGGTCAAATGGCTATGTTGAAATTGCCATGGAATATGTACAAATATGTATTCTTATGGCGATCATATTAGTGGATCCCAAGTGGGCGTATCCATGTCTTTTGATACTAAGACTTCAACTCTTAGAAAACACTGTTAGTCACAGGAATCCATTGTCATTTTACTCAAGAACTGCTTTCTAAGAAAGTGATATGAAACTGTTCAGTTTGATGAGCACATTAAAAGGCTAATGTTATTGTTGTTATGTGCCATCCAGTCAATTCTGACTCTTAGTGACCCTATATAGGGTTTCCAAGACTGTATATTTTTATGGGAACAGAAAGCCTCTATTTATTCCATGGAGCAGCTGGTAGGTTTTAACTGCCAGTCAGTGCCTATCCTAGCACTTAGTAAATGTTGGCGAGCAGAATGTGTTCAGAATTTTATTGGTGAGAACAATTTCTTAGCTAGATTAATATAAATCCAAAGCCACATTTTCAGTGTGATGCTTAGATCGGGCTTCTCCCATTCCTTTGATGTCCTATCTCTAAAATTTTAGGTCTTTTTTTTCTTCATCTGTGTAAGAATGTGGTGACTCCTGTGTACCTCATTTATAACTCAACACAAACTAGTCTCCCATATCTGGTGTTTCAGCATACAGCGATCTTTATAGAGAAGAGGTACTTTGCAGTGTGATTCAACTTCTCTTCACTTGGACCTGACTTCTTTCTCTGTACAATTAATTTTGTTTTATTAGTAGTAATTGTCTTTTAAAATATGTGCTATTAGCATTAGTTCATTTTCTGCGTATTATTATGTACATATCATTGGTCTGGAGTTCTGGTGTGGTGCCATAGGGTAAGCACTTAACCTCAAGGTCTGTTTGAACCACAAGACTGGCAGTTCAAACTCACCAGCCGTTCCTTAGAAACCCTATACAGGGTCTCTGTGAGTTGGATTCAACACCACGGCATTTATCAATAACAACATCATTAGTTTAGACTGCTGATGTGGTGCTGTAGGATAAGCAATGGACTACTAACCACAAGGTAAGCAGTTCGACCCCACCAACCACTCCATGGAAACCCTGTACAGGGTTGTTATGAGTTGGAATCGACTTCATGGCACTTAACAAGAACAATAATCATTAGTTTAACCTCAAATTTTCCTTTCATCTCATTATACAAGGGTCTTTCAAAGAGTTCATGGAACACTGGAATTAAAAGATAATAGAATTTTTCCACAAATGTATTCATAATGGTGTGGTGCTGTGGGTTCATGTGCTGGACTCCAAGGTCAGTTCACACTCACCAGCTGCTCCTCAGAAACCCTGCATAGGATTGTCATAGTCGGTTCAGAACCGACTCGATGGCACTTAGCAACAAAAATTGCACACTCATAGACTACAATATAATGTAAATTTAAATATGTGTTCTGAGAAACAAAAACAATTTGTGTGACTCCTCACTCTCTTTATTGCAGTGAAATTGAACTGAGCCCACCATCACAAGAGCGAGGAGTCACACAAATTTATATATATATATGTATGTTGGTGTATGCTATTGAGTTGGTTTCTTGTGGTGGTGGTGGTAGTATGCCATGGAGTCCATTCCGACTCATAGTGACCATGTATCGGGTTTCCGAGGTGGTAAATCTTTACAAGAGTAGAAACCTTCGTCTTTCTCCTGAGGAACGGCTGGTAGTTTCAAATTGCAGCCTAATTCGTAACCACGCTACCCAGAGCTCCTAGTGACCCTGTATTGGGTTTCTGAGGCTATAAATCTTCAGGGGAGCAGAAAGCCTCTTCTTTCTCCTGAGGAGCAGCTGATTGGTTTGAGCCACCAACCTTGTGGTTAGCTGTCCAGTTCTGACTCTATAGCGCCCCCAGCAGTCATGTATATGCACATACCCTAAATCTTTACTGTCATTGAGTTGCTTCTGATTCATAGCAACCCCATAGAGGGTTTCTGACCTTGTAAGTCTTTACAGGACAGATAGCATCATCTCGCTTCTGCAGACTGGCTAGTGGGTTTAAACTGCTGACCTTGCCAGTGCTCAAACCGCTGTTCCCAGAGTTTGGTTTATGGTTCTACCGCAATCAGTGACTGTGAAGAAAGGCGAGGCTAACAGCTGTCATCAAGAGTATAGTCAAGAAAACCCTGCAGAGCAGTTCTACTCTGTAACACACAGGGCCGCCAGATGCCGGGATCGGACTTGATGGCAGCGACAACCATAATATTAGATATATGTCGACATTGTGGCTTTTCATCTCAGTATGTACACGTCTTACTTCTGAACCTTTTCATAATGCTGCGCTTTCTTTGTCAATATTGTCAATCTTTCCTTATTAATGTTGGATATTTGTTCCTTATTTGTCTTATTAAGTAATGTTGCAACTATAAATATCCAGGTATATACTTTGCTACCTTTTGTTCAAAGGAGCTCTGGTAGCGTAGTGGTTACGAATAGGACTGCTAACGCCAAGGTTGGCAGTTCAAAACTACCAGCTGTTCCATAGGAGAAAGATGAGGCTTTCTGCTCCCATAAAGATTTACAGCCTCGGAAACCCTGTACAGGGTCGCTATGAGTCAGAACCGACTCCACGGTACTTAACAACCACAATGACCTATTGTTCAAGCATATTTTTAGACATATTTCTAAAAGAGAAATTGCTGAGTCAAAGAGATAGACATTCTCTTATTATGAAGATATGCCAAATTGCTCTTCAAAAAGATTACTTCTACTAATAGTATATAAGTGTCTTTTTTTCTACACCCTGAGTGACATGGTAATTATCAAGCTTTTAAGTCTTTGACACTGTGATAAGTGAAAAATGTGATCTTGTAGTTTTAATTTGCTTGTCTTTAATTGTGTGTGAAGTTAATAATGTGCTTATTGGACATTCTCTTTCTATGAGCTGCATGTTCATTAACTTATCCATTATTCCTTTGGCATATTCATCTTTTTCTTGTTGACTTATAAGAGCTCATTATATTTGGGAGAATTTTGCCCTTTATCTTTCAGATGTCTTGCAGATACTTGCCTCATTAATGTCCTTCTTATTTTGACATTATTTACAGTATTACTTGCTAGATGTCCAATTTATCTTAAAATTAAAAAGTAATAATGAATATAGTATTGTTGTTCTTACTAAACCTGTCTTCAATCATTTTCTTTATAGCTTTAAAATAATGTATATCAGCAGTACTTTATTTTAATTGTGATAAATGAAAATCTCCTCTTATACTGATTCTAATTTTTAAAAGATTAGTCAGTAAGCTTTAATTTTTATATGTTGTGTTGTTGTTAAGTGCCGTCGAGTTGATCCCGATCCATAGTGACCCTGTGTAGGGTTTCTGAAGAGCGCTGGTGAGCTTGAACCACCAACCTTGCAGTTCAAACAGCTTTGCAGTCTGGCGCATTTACCCATAGCGCCACACCAGGACTCTGTGCTATTTAGATAAAAAAATTTTTCTATTTTCAGTGTTCTACCCAAGAGTTCTTCTTGATTGTCAAGGCTCTATATCAGTTGACATTGGAATTTCAAGCATTAATACCTGCTGCTAATTCTCATATTCGCTCAGACTTGCTCCAGACATTTATTGTAGAAATCCCTGAACTCCTCAGCCCAGTGGAGCATTATGTGAAGATACTTAATGAACACGCTGCCAGGTAAGTAGCGACCTTTAGTTCTTCCTTTCCAGTACTGAGTGTGATCAAATGTATAGATTCTTAATTTCTACTAGAAGAATGGTAGCCATTTCATGTGCACACATGAAATTAGAAAGTTGATTGGTTACCAGAGTTCAGTGTTTTATATTACAGCTGGAAGTAACACTTTGCTATCTAAAATGTAGGTGGTTCACCATCTAGGACACATATGGCACTTCGAAAGCATACTCCAGATAGTAGTGGTTGTAGTTGTTAGGGGCCGCTGAGTCGGTTCCGACTCATAGTGACTCTATGCACAATAGAATGCCACGCTGCCCGGTCCTGTGCCAACCTACAATTTTTCTTACACAAATGCCCATTGCTGCTGCCACTGTGCCAATCCAGCTCTTTGGGGGTCTTTCTCTTTTTTGTTGACCCTCCACTTTACCAAACATGATATCCATCACCAGGCATTGATCCCTTCTGATGATATGTCTGAAGTATGAGAGATGAAGTCTTGCCATCCTGGCTTCTAAAATGCATTCTGGCTGTACGTCTTCCAGTTTATTTTTTGGTGCTTCTGGCAGTCTATGGTACTTTCAATATTCTTCTCCAACCCGTAACTCAAATGCATCAATGCTTCTAAGGTTTTTCTTATTCATTGCCAAGTAGTAGCAGTTTATTAGCCCAAATGTAGTGTCAAATGGCATCTTGTCCTCATTTGCTAAAGATCTGGGGGTGGTTTCTATATATTTAGAATCTGCAGAAACAATTATCCCATGAGAGGCAATCATTTCACATTTCATTCTACAAATAACTTTTAAAGAGGAGACACCATTTCATAGTAGTAGCATTTGTGTTTATCTTCCAAACCAGCAAACAACAAGTATTTAATTATAGTCCTTGTTTTTACCATGGGAATTATGAACTTGTAAGATGACATGGCCTAGGGTCATTTTGTTTCTCCCGAGAAGTTAGGCCTGGAAGTAGTGGAAGAAATGGAGCCAAAACCCCATTTCCTGTGTTTAAGCCCTTTCATAATGCTACAAACATGATGCTACAAACAGTAATTAGTAACTTATCTAAATAATTTGCTTCAGTATATGTAATGATACCTTTTTTCATTTGCTAGACTCGGGGATAAAACTGAAATATTCAAAGACCTCTCTGACTTCCCTTTAATAAAAGAGAGGAAGGACGAAATTCAAGAAATTACTAACAAGATCCAAATACATTTGCAAGAAATACGAAGAATATTAAAAAATCCTTCTGCACAATATGTGACAGTATCAGGGCAGGAGGTAATGTGAAGTGAATTTTTGTCTTGCTATAATCTTTCCTCAAGTAGAAAAGCAGTTTTAAATGTGAATATGCATCTAAGCTTAAGATATAAGTCTTTAAATATTTTTTTCTGTCATTCCTTGGAAATATGTTGTAATACCTTGGTGGCATAAGAACTATTTTCATTATGTGTTTTATAATTGACTTAAGAGTTTTCATAAAATTATGCAACTTAATGTTACATGTGTTTTAGTGTTATCTGTTGAAATTGTATTATAGAAAACCTTGAATAATAACGTAAAATTCATTTACCTTCAGTCCAAGAGAGGAGTTATTTTCTGATCCCTGGCCTTGCAGATGATGAAATGATGTATAAGCAGACAATTTAAGTTGATGTTATATGATGGTAGGAGTGGGAATAAGAGTAATTGTTGTTGTGGTTGTTGTTAACTGATGTAGGATCCGACCCATAGCAACCCTATAAAGGGTTTCAGAGGAGCAGCTGGTGAGCTTAAACTGCTGACCTTGCAGTTCAAAGCGATTTTGCAATCCAGTGCATTAACCCACAGTGCCATACCAGGACTCCAGCAATATCAAAAGCTGATTAGCTTCATGGAGGGTAACGTGAATCAAGATCAGCCCAAGGTTGATCCCTGTTAGGTGGAGGTCAGGCATACCTTCACCCTCCAAAACTTCTTACCAAATTCTAATACTAACGATTCTCCCCATGGCACTCTCTACTTGTCCGCTGGGTTTGGTAATATGGAGCAGTGGTCATACAGAACTCATAGACCCCACTTCCAGCTAAGCAGTTAATTAAGGAAGTAACAGGCTACAACTCGGTTCTGGAACTGACTAATTCCCTCTTTGTAGGCCACAGATAGACTTCAGTTGCATAGTATGTGCAACTGGGCTACAGCTTACCTCATTTTCATCATCGATTGACCAATTTCCGCCAAATACAGACCAATCAAAGGTGTAGGCTCTAGTCTAGGACCAGACAACCAAGTTGTTTACAGCTTTCCCTGGACATGGCAGTCAGCCTAGATAAAAAAATATATCAAGCACTCTAAGGTCGAAAATCAGGGCAAAAGAAAATTCTTGGGGTTTAGGGGTGAATATCTCTTAAACTGCTTTCCAAACCTTCAAGGCAAAGTCACATAAAGGAACCCTTTTTGTCACATTCACACAGTGATCTTACAACTGGCCTTCGTTTAAGTCAGATATTAACCAATTACTATCACGTTGGTTCAGGCATATGGCAACACACATGGCAACATGCTTGTCAGAGTAGAAATGTGCTCCATATTGCTTTCAGTGGCTGATTGGATGTAGACTGCCAGCCCTTTCTTCTGAAGTAATCCTGGGTGGACTTGAAACTCTATAAAGTTCTGGTTAGCATTCGAGTGCATTAACTGTTTACACCACACAGGTTATAAACAAAACAAAACAAGAAAAACTATTGTGAAAACCTACATTTAATAAATATTCCCTAAGATTATGGTGTTGTTTAGAATGCATCTTTTGGAATGTGACCTTTTGTTTAGATTTGATATTACTATCTAAATGATAATTATATCTGAATGAGAAAAGAAAAAAGTGTTTTTTATATGTGATTTTATCTTTTGCTTCTGTGCTGAGTCTTTTGGCATGCTGCTTCTATTCTGTTGTTGTGAAGTGCTGTCAATTTGGTTCCGACCCATGGCAGCCCTGTATAGGGTTTCTGAGGAGCAGCTGGGGAGCTTGAACCGCCTACCTTGCAATTCAAACCGACTTTGCAGTCCAGCTCATTAACCCATAGCGCCACACCAGGACTTATCTTAAATAAAATCTGTGCATCGTAACTGAGGGAATATGAAAGGTCCTGCCTACATTTTTAAGATGAAGTCTTGGTGTGGTGCTATAGGATAAGCACTGGACTATTAAACTCGAAGTCGGCAGTTCAAATCTATTAGCCTGGAAACCTTATACAGGGTTACTATAAGTCGGAACCTACTCGAGGGCACTTAACAACAACAACTTTATTAAAATAGTGAGCTAGATCCTTTGTGAATAATAATTTCTGTAAGGTGAATATTTTATTCACATTTAAAATAAATATTTTTTCTAGTGGAGAAAAAGCATAATTTCAAATTATAATTTTAATAGTAGCATCAACTGTTATATTTATCCTAACAATTACATTAAGAAAATTACATGTTGATTACATTAAGAAAAGATACTATAGTAAATTACAGTATTTATTAGAATGTTTGTTACCCTATGCCACTCAATAAATTTAATATTGATTCTGTTAGCCTTCCTTCAGGGCTAAATGTACTAAAATGGTATATGCAGATAGCTCTCTACAAAGAAAAAATATTTGACAATATTTACATTTGTGTTTATTTTTCTGAATAACATTTAATAAATGCATATTAAAATTCAAGTATTTAATCTATCTCTTAGTTTCACCATTCAAATGATGCATTTAAAAGGGAAAAGTAACCGCAGGGTCATTATTCTGGCTGTTTGTTGGCCTTGTGATGATCAGAAGCGCTTTGACAACATTAGTAAAGATAGTGTAGCAGAACATAGCTGTGTGGGGCTGCAGTGGGAAAAGAGGATGGGAAGTTCCAGTTGGACCACTTCTGTGTTAGGTTCCCTGCACCTCAGAAGGAAGACTGTTGTGGCATCAACACACTGGAAAGTGCTTCCTAAAGCACTCTGCAAATACTCATCGTATGATAGCAGCAATGTCACTTCTTAGAGCTCCTAGCATAGTGGTTATGAATTGGCCTGCGAACCATAACGTCGGCAGTTGGAAACGTACCAGCTGTTCCGCGGGAGAAAGAAGAGGATCTCTGCTCCTGTAAAGATTTACAGCCTTGGAAACCCTTTACAGAGTCGCTATGAGTTGGAACCGACGCCATGGCACATCACCACCACCACCACCACCACCACCACCACCACCACCACCACCACCACCACCACCACTGTGTTAGGAGCTTTTCATATATGATCTTATGTAATCTTGTAACCACACCAGACCCCCAACCACTGAGTCCATTCTGTCTCCAAACCACCCTGCATAGAGTTTCCAAGGCTGTAAATCTGTTTGGGAGCAGACAGCCTCATCTGTCTCATAGGGAGCAGCTGGTGGGTTTGAACTGTTGACCTTGTAGCTGACAGTCCAGAGCTTATCAGACAGCACCATCAGGATTTCTTTTGTAACCACAAAAAGATGGTTATTACAGACTTTCAGGGAAAGAAGATAAAAACTTGGAGTATCATTTCACTCCTGTCATCAACATTAATACCATAAATTTTTCAACACCATGCGTTTTATTTGATTAAATTAAGATATTTTAGTTCTAGTATTCAAAAAAAGATAAGGCTGAAGTCTTATAAATGTAATAAATTAACAAATTTGTTTTTCATGGCTATATAAGTAGTGTTTTTATTTTTTAAATGTTTATTGTGACTTGGGTGAAGGTTTACAGAACAGATCAGATCAGTTTTCCCAGGTAGTAATTTTTAATTAAAACTGTTAGAAAATGACCTGGGATTCAGTAGGAAGAGTAGACTGTGTACTTCTTATCAGTATAGTATTGATATTTAAGAAAAAGTACAACAGGAAGTTGAGAAATTGGATTATAATTAGGGAGGAAGATAAATAGTAATATTATTCTTTATGTCTTTACTAGATTAAGAAGATGAATTTGAAGCAAGAAATTTCTTAGATATTAAGAGTAGAATGGATTCTCGTTGGTTTTTTTGTTTTGTTTTTTATTGAGGTTTTTTTCTTAATTAAATGTTTTTATTTTGGATTGAGTGAAAGTTTACAGGGCACATCATCAGCTTCACATTCAACCATTCATATAGTTTGTTTCATTACATTGATTA